AATATAGTATATATATATATACATACATACATACATATAAAAGAACATTTAAGAACACCTGGCAAAATGTACCTGTATTCAAAACAAAGTTAAATGTAATTAATCATGGTGCTGGATTAATTGGGGGATTCAAAGGTACGGGCTCAGTGCAGTAAGGTCACCGATGTAGAACAGTGTTACCCGTCACTAGTATAAACAGCAGTGCATTATGCTGCACTGGATGCATTGTCTGCAGAGCTTGCCTGTGAAAAGAGTTTGAGGAGCCACTCTGTCTGCACAATGCCACCTCCTGTGTAAGGACAACCTCTTCTTGGAATAAACATGCTTTTATAGGTAACACCATTCGTGTTGGCTAATCAATTTGTATGACCTAGTCATGTGTTCCCCCAAAATACCCGCTGCATTGTATGAAATCCATTTGCTGTAAGGTGTACTCATAGCTATCACCTGTTGGTAGCTGTGTGATTGCCACATGCCAATGGCTATGCTTTCAACTTTGAACAAAAGATTAATAGTTGTGAATCACTTGTGAGTGCAGATTTATAGCCCATAATCATAAAGAGCTGAACCCCGAGCATGCCTCCAGGTGATGAGGAGCCACATGGAGGGGATACCATGGAGGGATGCCAGTATTGCAGGTCCAGTTGTGGCAATGGTTTCCTCAGTCTCATGTTTGCTGAGGTTTGTGGTCCCGGCTGTAGACATGCATATCTGTTAGCACCAGGCGAATTAAAGTAACTGTTGCCCCTCAGAGATAGCAAAACTGTGTCTTGTCCTCTGTCGTAGAACTACAAGTCTCCGCAGACTGTAGCCTAGTCTTTTAGGATCCGATGAAAATCCAAGCCTATAGCCAAGATGTGCATTCGTCCAGCACAATGTCGTCGGAAGACGACAGTATAGTAACCCATTACTTGTCAGCTCTTTGTTATTGTAATATTCATACCGTACCTTGTTAATAGATTTTTCAACTTCAAACATATAAACATAAATAAATATAAAATTAATTATAAACATTTAAATCTCTTAAAAACACTTGTTCAGGGGAGAACGTTTTGGTTTCTTTTGGTCCACCATATTATCATCTGTCTGCCTATATTTCTTTAAGCATTTTAAAAATCAGGTAATAAATATAAAACGAATATAGGCTGCATATAGACTGCGTGAATATAGGCTGCATATATGCATATAGGCTGCCATTATGGGGATCTGTGCTGGGCTTGGATATATTTGGGAGACCCAAGGATGTTGGACATATAGGTATAGACTGTTATGGTCCTGGGGATCTGTGCTGGGCTTATATATATTTGGGACACCCAAGGATGTTGAGCATAGGTGTAGACTGTTATGGTCATGGGGATCTGTGCTGTGCTTGGATATATTTGGGAGACCCAAGGATGTTGGACATAGGTATAGACTGTTATGGTCATGGGGACCGGTGCTGGGCTTGGATATATTTGGGACACCCAAGGATGTTGGGCATATGTGTGTAGACTGATGGTCATGGGGATCTGTGCTGATCTTGGCTGTGTCTTCTCGGCCATGTGATGCAGGACATGGATATAGGCTGCTATGACCACAGGGGTTGTGCTGGGTTTAGATGTGTGGGAAATAGTCTGTTGTGACCATGAAGATCTGTGCTGAGCCTGGCTGGGTCTGCATGAATGAAGTCTTGAGCTGATCGGTGGCTCGTTGCCCAAAATCCACCTCCTAACAAGTCGGCTTATGAACGTGGTAAATCACTAAATTGTTACTAGCAGTAACAAGCCAGTTTGGTTCAGTGATGCCTCTCAATATAGACATCTACAGTGGTTTAGATGTAATTCCTATTCGGTCAGAGCAGTAACTACTATTTGTATTGCATCTATTGATTTACTCTTTAGTGTACATGAGTAAAAAAAAATATTTGTAAATATTTGTAATTGTACTAGTTTATGCAAATGATATATTACTATACAGTATATCCTAAATATAACATATTTTGGAATTATTCACAAATTGTATTTTTTGCAGTTGTTTTGGCATTTTATAAATGGTTCCAACATTATTTTTTTAAAGAAAAAGCTTGCCGTGAAAATAGTTAGCATAAACTATAATTTGCTTGATTGCACATTAACTTATCATTCAAACATCATCTATACTTTAGTTTTTGTCTATTTAGGAGACAGGTGATGACCCAGCCAGTGTGCATTTTATACTCTTGTGGACATAAGCAAGCAAGCATCATTTTATTAGTGAGGGACAGTGACTCAAGCTCCCTCTGGCAGCTAAACCCAACTTTTGTATATCAGGCCCAAAAGTATTGTTCCTGTCACAAATCATTCCTGTTCCATTGCACATAACATCTGCCCCAGCTATCCTAGCGTTGCTAATAGCAACCATCCTGCTGATAGCTTTCCTTGTATCATGCACTAATCAAAGGGAACCTCATTGCCTGTTATAAGCAACAGGTCTATCACCTCCTTGGTTTTTTTTATTACTTTCTTTTCAAATTCATATTTGTTTTATGCTGCGAAGAAATGTAATTTCGAAACGGAAAACAAGATGCTATTATCTCCCACATTCTGTGCAGAGAAGCAGCTGGTTATTTCTGTATCAATGGAAGCATTGGAAGGTAACAATATTTATTGAGGTCAGACCTTGCATCTTAAACAATGTAGACTATTTTCAAAACAAACCAGTAAATATACACACAGAGAAGCTGTAATCGAATGGATTGAGTATGCTTTACAAAACATGTATAGCTCTGCTGCAGAAACTTTGGGGAGTGTATACATAAGGCATTCGTTTGTATTATCCCAGTCCACGTTAATTGTTATCTACTTACTCTTTGCATTGATACAGTTCTAGCTGTGAGGATAAGGAAGACGGCAAGTTATTGTTGTATGATACCTGGGGAGGGGAAGGATGCATTGAGGAGTGAGCTGGAGACTTGCTAGTGTAATTGCTGTCCAGGCTGGAGTGTGCTCCGACATGAAACAATAAGGGCTCATACAAATCCATTTCTCTGGGGTCATAATTTACACTCTCTAGAAATGGCAAAAAAATATGTTTGTAACGAGAGAATGGATGCAATTTGTCCTATTAACGAGTCATTGAGCCTTCTTAATGGGTTAACAGAATAAAGTGTCCTCTTGGGTGAAATAAAATAACATATCCATATGCCATTCTCTGTCTTCCCTCATTAGCTAGCACTGTCCACAGGTTGTTAATATTAGGCAGGTCAGGTTACGTGATGGCTGTGTTTGCATGGTATATAGCAGACAGAGCTGGGGTGGGGCAGCCCATAGATCATATACAACTTCTAATGAGATATGACTGGCACTGTAAGTTCATTATACAGCTTCCAAACACACCTATTTCTATCAGCCTCATAAACCATCCCCTCCTTGTATATATACTATATATATACTATAGTAGAGTTCCCAATTCATACAACCCTGTGTAGTATAAGGCAATTAACATTGTATGCAGTTTATAAAGGAATAGCCCTGGCTGCGCTGATGAGAGGTGAAATATGGTTGCTGTGGGTTCCTTTGCACATCATTACTGCTCATTGCACTCATTGATGTAACAAGTCCTATGTATTGACCCTTATCTTACTTGCAGTATGAATAGAAATGAATTTGATCGAACAAAGGCTGTACACAATCACAATCCTGTGTAATATAGTAGTATAAGCTAATATTGTATCTAGTATATGTCCAATAAGGAATAGCCCTGGCTGCGCTGATGAGAGGTGAAATCTGGTTGCTGTGGGTGACTTTGCACATCATTACTGCTCATTGCACTCATTGATGTAACAAGTCCTATGTATTGACCCTTATCTTACTTACAGTATGAATGTATTCATCCTAATGATGCTAATGTAAAATAAAGCACGAGAGTATCTTTTAATAGAAGCCCTCTTTGAGGTGGGCAGCATCTTTATGTTAATATGTGGGCGTGCGAGGCTTTGCATTGTGCATAATTAACAGTTTGCTGAGGTCACACTTTTGACAGTTTGGCATCAAATGAGGTTTGAGGCTTTACAGAGTCCCGGGGGCGTTCCTGGAGCTCCTTTAGATTAAGACTGCCTCCTTAAGTGCCTTCCCTCAGTCCCATTTAAAGCTCAGTGGGGCTTTAATGAAAACGTGTCTGCAAATATCTCATTCAAGCAACAAGATGGTAAGTGTCTGGCGTGCTCCTCACTGTGCATAGGGAGCTCCCTCTTCTGTGGATTGCTTTTCAAGCACTTCTCTAGACACTGGAGTACTTCAATGGAAGCCAGTTCCTTCTGGATGTAATGCTTGAGCAGGTTTGGTGTGCATTCATAAAAGTGTACTTGCTGCGAACGTCTAATCCTGTGTGCTGATTGTTCAAGAAACTTACCTACCTGAGTGTAGGGATCCTGCTTCTGGTACCCGAACCTTACCTGAGTGTACGGTTCGTGCATCTGGTACCCGAAACTTACCTGAGTGTAGGAATTTAGCTTGGGATACCCGAAACTTACCTGGGTGCAGAGATCGTGCTTCTGATACCCGAAACTTACCTGGGTGCAGAGATCGTGCTTCTGATACCCGAAACTTACCTGGGAGCAGAGATCGGGCTTCTGATACCCGAAACTTACCTGGGAGCAGGGATCGTGCTTCTGGTACACGAAACTTACCTGGGAGCAGGGACGGTGCTTCTGATACCCGAAACTTACCTGGGTGCAGGGATCGTGCTTCTGATACCCGATACCCGAAACTTACCTGGGTGCAGAGATCGTGCTTCTGATACCCGAAACTTACCTGGGAGCAGAGATCGGGCTTCTGATACCCGAAACTTACCTGGGAGCAGGGATCGTGCTTCTGGTACACGAAACTTACCTGGGAGCAGGGACGGTGCTTCTGATACCCGAAACTTACCTGGGTGCAGGGATCGTGCTTCTGATACCCGAAACCTACCTGATTGTAGGGATCGAGCTACTTCTCTTTTGCATTGATCATGATGTACCGATTAGAACTCAATTACTGCTAGCAGTTCATTCTGTAAGGGCAGATTGGATTTAGTTTTTCAGCAGTATGTGTTACTATGTTGTGTCTAGTGATTTGTATTCTGATACATTGTAATTCAGCTTCCATCAATACTATGAGGTGTCAGAGTAGAGACTGAGAAGCTGTTTGTGGATTTTTTTGTTTTGGCATGTAGTCAGCTTGCTTGGGCTGGAAGTGAATTGTCAGCTGATCTGAAACTCCATTCACAGAGCTGAGCCTTCATTTCTAGCAGTACAATATCTCCTCAGTAGAGAGTATCCTCCCGGAGAGAAGCTAGCTTTACCTCCTCAAAGAGTGTTGCTTTTGTTGAAACACAAAAAAAGTCTGTTCCTGCCATATCTAACCCAGTCCTCCTCCTGTGTCACTTTTACAGAACACCATTCTGGCGTGCCAAGACCAGTACTTTGCAGGGGGTCAGAGCTATGATTGCCCATACTTCCCCTCAACTTCAGCGGCCAGTGTTGATGTTACCAAGGATACATGGGTCTCTCTCTGGGCTCCTGGTCTCCTGGACGACACATCAAGCAACCAGGGCCCACAATCCCATGGTAAGTAGTCCACTTTGTAACTACAGATGATGCTCTGCAATCTGCTACTATCAGCCCACTGTAGTGCCAACTAATGGATAATCTTGGATACAAGATGCACAATTCTTTAGCTGTTTATGTGTTTGTGTGTGTGTGCGTGTGTGCGTGTGTGTGTGTGTGTGTGTGTGTATAGAAACCCCTGAATGCAATCCTTTTTAAACAGACCTCCATCAATAGAGACTGATTACCAGTAGCATCATATACCTGTTAATGTATGCCTTTTAATTCGCTTTCAGGGCAGCTGTTCGATGTTGGGCGCACACTTCCAGATAATTATATGTGGGAGGACCAGCTATCTTCTCAGATGATCACAAACATACAGGTATTTATTTGAAATCTGATTTTATACTAAATGGAAGGCCTTTAAAGGGTTAAGGTTGAATGGATAAAATTTAATTTTTTCCATATACAGTAGTTCTATAATGTGTCTCTGCCCCACAGCTTCAAGATACATTGGTCCAGAGGGAAGAGGAGCTGGCACGATTGCACGAGGAGAATAATAAATTGAAGCAGTACTTGAATTCTGCTTTTGTGAAATGTTTAGAGGAAAAGACCAAGGTGTGTAATAATGATGTCCTTCTCTCTCTAACAATAGATATCTAATCTATGTACAAGACTTTGCTAAAAGGGATATCTTTCTATACTAATCGGGTGTCTCGCTGCAGAGATAACATTAGTTGGAGCCTGTTTATTCCTAATGTTTCCCTGCTGTACTGATGTGTTTGATAAAATGAGTGCACTCCTTATCTGCAGTGATAGGGATCTCCGGAGATAAGGGGGCACATTGACACTTGCACTGCTTTCATTACTTCTGTGCTATGCTGATGGGATTACCTGCAATAGAGGAGGCTGTTTGACAGCAGTGGTAATGTGCAAAGTTAGCCTAAGGTTAACAAAGACTCTGCATGTGGCTCTGGCTGTGATCAGAAGTGATCTCCATTGTGTCTCCAGTAAGCGATGTGCTTGCAAATTACACCTGTACCTGTGCAAGATCCCCCGCAGCGTTAACTCTTCATGTAACATGAAGGATTATCATGAGAGTGGAGGAATGTCAAACGCTAATCTGTGCTTCTGACTTCTTCTAAAGCCTGCCATGCCTCCGCACTAAACGACTAGATAACAGAAAAACTGTGTCCTTTCACTTGTATGCATAGAGAGACTTTTAGAAGGATGGCATTTTGGTGCCTGTAGTTCTACAGCAGCATCTACTTTGCCTTGTTAGTTAAAGGCAAAACGGGGCCAATTAAAGTCGTCAGTGGCTTGGTTTAACCCCTAGGAATCGTTTTATAAACGTTTAGGTCTATTTGCTGTCTCTGACAATCGATCATTTTGCCTTCTATAAAAGACGAATGCTGATTGGCCAACAATATTGTCATCAGTTGTGATCCATAGTGTCCTGGAGTTTGTGTAGAGTGTTCTTAGTCTACATCAGGGTATGCAAAATATGGCTTACCAGCTGTTGTAGAACGGACTACAAATCTTAGCATGCCTGTAGGCTGGCTGGGTCATCGGGGCTGGATGGATACCTGTTGATCATTCCTGGTTATGACTTTGAACTGTTTCTCTGCTATATGTGCACTATAGTGCTTGGTCTTGTTGCAAACATTTTTTTTTTATTCTACAGAAACTGTTGTCCCAGCATGGGGTCGGTGCTTCTCTGAAGAGGGAAGCAAAGGTTAGCAGCCTTGCCTCTCCTGAAATCTCAGCCAAAAAGGCCAAGAGGAATCTTTATAGCGATTTCACTGCCTGCGAAGGACAATCCAGCCCTAGTGTAGCATCCTGGGTCCTGCAGACTCTGGGACTGAAAGATGTCAACACCATTGATGATTCTGCTTCAGCTAACTACAGTGCCATATCTAATGAGCTCATCAGCAGCATGGGGGCAGCAGAGTGTGGAAGTATACAAGGCTCCCCCTCTTCTGGATACAGTACAATCCATATGACCCCTGTGAACAGCCAGGCTGGGAGCAGCTTAGACTCTCCCTATTTGCCAAACTATTCCCCCTCATCCTGCAGTTCTTCATCACTGCCAAGAAGTGAGTCAGTCAGTCCTTCTGACTCGCCTATTTGCTATACTCCAGAGGTATCTCCAAACAAAACAGAAGTGGCCTTCTCCACATCCCTAAGCCCTCATTGCAACGTGAAGACACACAGCTTCTCCAATGGACAAGCATTCGTTCGCAGAGATGGAGAAGGGGGATGGAAATTCACTTGGGTCCCCAAACAATCTGAATAAAAAAACTATATGGACATGGGGTCATCTCATGGGAGTTTACAGAACCATTTGCACTTGGTCATGAGGACCTATGAAGACCCCCTTCAGTCCTGCCTGTGTATCCCAATGTGATCTCTTTAACCCACTGTTTGGGTTTTCTCTGCTGCCAGTACCATAAAGGGGCCTTCATTTGTTTACATGCAAATGTATATATGTATGATCTTTTTTCCATGAAAAAATAGCCTATTCTAACAGTATTTATTTCTGTTGGGTTTTAAGTGCAATTAATGGCAGTGCAGTTTTGATTGTAGTCCTTTTTTGATTTGCACCTCTTTAATTTTGCTGCCTTAACAGTCTTCGATCACTGCCTTAATTTATACAATGAACACAGTGACCTACTGCCTGTATGAGACTCACTTCTACACTGTATGGAATAAAATACTTTTTACTTCCTCCTCCTGCAAAGCCACTGTAGTTATTCTCTGCCAAACAAAGTAGCAGGCGTGCTTGGACAGGTGCACTCTATGTCCTTTGTCACAATTTGTGTGGTTCCCCAATAACCCCAAACTACAATTCCTCACTGCCTTTTACTCAGCCTATTTATTTACTACCTATTGCATTATTAAGGACAATCAGAATGTGAAGTCTCACTGTGTTATATTGTATATAAATAAATTGTTTAAAGATGTTTTGAATTTGAGCTTGCATTTTTCAAAGCAAATCACCTATTGTAGCTTTAGGTTTGTTTTTATTTTCATTGATGCATACGATTTTTACCTTTAAAGGGCCAGTTAATATAAATCTTTCTATTTTACTAATCTGCTGGAAAGATAAATCACCTGACTGTTCATTATATATCTCTGAGTGAGACCTCTGCACTGGCCCATTCATATCACATCCAGATCTCCAGACCAGATTGTTTCCGGACCCAAAATGCATCCTAACGTATCCCTATGCTATTTCTGCACTCTGTTCACACCAGGACAGTTCCAGACCAGACCAGAAAAATATTGCATGTCTCACTTTGTCTGGTCTAGAATGCACTGGAACTGCACCTTCAGGCTACTGAAACCACCGAGAGTTTCTCCCTCTCTTGCCCGCCCCCCTCCCCCAAGAAATATGCATATAAAAAACTGTATATTGTTAACCAGAAGGAATAGACCTAATTTTACATGTGTGATGGACTGGCTCTTGCAGTGCATTGCTTGCTCTAAGCCCCAGTTTATTGCAAATATCGTTTGTGCAAGCTTCCTGAGCTCTTGATACGCATTAACCCCTTGGCTGATTACTGTTATGCACTTTACAGCCAATTAAATGGAGGGCCAATTCATTAAACAGTAGTTATGTCAGTCCAGGGAGGGGCGAGTTAATTGGCCTTTCAGGCAGTCCATACAGAGTGAAAGTCCAGGTTATAAATCGCTGCACTGATAACATAGTCCTCTAGCTGTGTGCACACAGACCTATATGCAGCGCTCCCCTCCCTGATGATAATTCAGGCACATCAACTGCTGACTTTTACATAGTACTAATTAACAATGGGTACTGTAATAAAATTATGCTTTATAAAACATGTCATGTTGCCCAGCTAATCAGAATCATTGTATCCCCTTTCAAACCTGGATCGCTGATAGTCTACCATGGGCAAAAATATATTTTTGCAACACTTTTCACACACGAGACCCCAAATGCAGTAAAATTACAAAAATGGTAGGCTGGGACTAATAAGGGTTATCCATACGTGTTAAGCCTACAACACCAATAAAGTCGTTCTATAGCCCTCTAAATCTGAGCTCCTATCCACCGCTTGTCTGTCCCAGGTAAGATTCGTGTTCCTTTATCCCCCAGGTTTCAACAATTTGTTAGGACAAGGTCTGATTCCTCCAATAGAGCCCTCGAGTCTGTATTCAGAGGTCCCTGTGTCCCTAGGGGCCACGTTGGGTCGTTTAAGTACAAGATAAGCTGCTTCCTAAAACTAGATGTCACACACTTTCAACAGATGTTTTAACAGATTGGAAATGTGAACTAGGTCGGCTTACTAGCTAATTTGCCAGCAGCAGCCCAAATAGCTGTGACTTGCATTTGGCACACGTTCTATTCCGTATGGGAGCAATTTTTGCGAAGCCATACCAGCGTGCGCTGCATAAATACACAATAATGGCAATTAACTGAAAGCTCACTTGATCTGTTAGGCACTGAATTGATGGGTAAAGTTTGCATTAGAAGACTGGCAGAGTCTTGTGGATAATGGAAAACTTTAATTACAGCAATGATATAGGTTAATGCACAGCAGCTTATTAGATTGTATCATTGTATTCATTTAGGCAAAGAGCAATGAGAATCGTGCAGCAATCAGAATTCATCCGTCATTAATCTGACTCTCCAGTTATTTAAAACATGAATACTGTAGTTCTAAGGATCTATTGTACATTGCTGTTGCTCTTTGGACTCACTTTCTAATTAAATTGTTTTGCACAGTCGTGTTTGTGTATTTGTGTGTATAGCTGTGTTTTCGTGTTTTGCCATTTTTTAAAGTTTTGTATAAGGTAGGGAATGGTTAAATTCCCTGTCAGTTATTTTTTGCTGCCTGTCTCCCATTGGGGAGATTTGCAATAACTTCCTGTTATGGGAACAATGATAATTTTATGGATGTCCCATTATTGTTATTGTTATTACACAGGATTTATATAGCACCAGCAGTTTCTCCAAGAAGGCACACATCCAAGACTAAAAAGTTTTGACTAAGTAAGCACTTTAATACAATTTTGGGTTTACCTATAGAAACCAGGACCATAGAACCAACAGTTGAAAACTGACTGGTTGCATTAGGAAACAATGTTTTAGCACATTTTTCATGCATTATACCCTATTTTAAACAAGTCCCTTGTGATGAAAATGCTCAAGTGAACTTGAAGGTGTGAAATAACTACATGCCTGCTTGTCACATTGATTGTTAGTGACAGCTTGCAGTTATTACTTTTTTTTTAAAATAATTGCCTTTTGCTGCTGGAGTCAGTTCAGCATTTGTAAGTCGTTGTAAAAAAAAAAAAAAAAAAACATGCAGAATATAGAAACATAAGTATGTTTTACTTGTAAAAATCTTACTGCTATTTGTTTTCAGAAGATGTGGAGATCAAACAAGTGGCACTAGGACATATATTAAAAAGACAAAATATAAGCCCTACAGAAACAGGATCAATTTTGCCTTATACAGCGGGTCACGGTGGGATTGGGAAGCAGTTGCATGCTTGTATGCCCTTACTAACCTTGCCAAGCATTCCCTGGTGGAGCCTTTTACAAGGGAGAACTGGCTAGCCAAATTGAATTTTTCTGGCTGATTGTTATTGTTCATCACACACTAGAGCAGGAGTAGCCAAACTCCGGCCCTCCAGCTGACATCATGTCTGTGGCTGTGAGAATCTTGCAATGCCTCATGGGATGTGTAGTTCCACCACAGCTGGAGGGCCGGAGTTTGGCTACCCCTGCACTAGAGAAAAACACTTCCACTTTTTTCTTCAAAGGTCCAAACATGTGAATGTGCATGTTTAGGTAAAGCTCTGTCCATGATTGACTCTTACATATCTAACCACCATCTTGTGTTTATATACAGTATATCAGAGTCTCATTAAAGCAGGACTGAATTGCAGAACCTGTGCCCAAACCAGGCAAGCAAAGGGTAAATTAGTTATCACCAGCATTGCCTGCCCTACCGTCAGTTCATCAATTCCTCATTACTGATTTAATATGCCTTGTTCAACATTGGGGTCTATTCACTAAGCTGCCGTAGGCAGCCAAGTGACTAACCGACCCCAAGCAAAGTGAGCCGAATGCTATTCGGCTATTCACTTCAGGCTGGTACGGCTGATTCCAGCCGTATATCGGCTGAAATCAGCCGTACATCGTGTGGCTTCGTGTGGCTACGGGTCGGCCGAACATGCTCAGCATGGCCGATCCAAAGTGCAGAAGGAGTTCGACTCAGCCGATCCAACATCCGGATCGGCTAAGCCGAACCTCCGGCAGACTACTTGCTGCTGTTCGGTCTATTCTCATAGATGCCGAACAGCAGTGAGTAAATAGCTGAATGCCGCTGAGCGGCATTCGGCTCGGCTGTTCTGCTCGGTCCCTCTGTGGAACCGACCAGAATAGAAAAATAATTAAAAAATAAATAAATTAGAAAACGATTGTGCGGAGCTAGCAGTGACAGCTAGCTCCGCAAATAAATCAGAATAAGAGAGAGTCTTGCACTGCAGGTACACAAGTACAGATTTCTCTCCAGCAAGGAATACGGAGCAGCCCAGTTATGGTGTCACCAAACCTCTCTCCATATTTTCTGAGAGCAGCAGTCATTGGCACAGAGTACTGCTTGTGCACAGTCAACATTACTTGGCAACCCCGCAAAACCTCTGCCTTCAATACTTTCTAAACTATTACCTAGAGCAAGTAAAGAAGAAAGAAACAAGAAAGTCGGAGTAACAGTTTAGTAATGTTTCCACATACTGTGGAGGACTTATTTTATGCAATGTAAACTGTCAACTAAAGGTAAAAAGGTGCTTATGGAGTTCACATATTGTATTTGTATTCTGGTCTGTCAGTTTTTCAGGTAGACCCGATCGGATGCCCAATATAAGTCTATGGGCAGCCACTTGTAAACGGACGTGCATCTCTTTATACCCGGTTATCCCAGACTCCAGCCAGGTCTGGAAAAACAAATGGATCAGAGATGGATTGGGGGTAATCTGATGTTTACATCTGATCCCCCATAGACAGACATGGGGTCTGGTAATTGCAGTTTTTTCCCTCCATCGCAAGATGGAAGAAAAAACTGTAGGGACACGGATGTCACAGCAAAGACATCCACTATGCACTGCTGTGATCAGGAGGGGATTTGTGCACGGATCCTCTCCTGATCAGCCCATATGAAAGGGACCTTAATATATTTTTTAAAGCAAACTAGTCTGAGTACCTACATTTGGCTCGTTTTTTAGACTCCTGTAATCCTCTGTTCAGCAGGCCTCATGCGTTTACCCCGACAATGAACCCGCTATTAGAAGGATAGAGCAAATTGATGACTTCATCAGTCTGCTGCCTCATTTTCTAATCACAAGCTGCCGGTAAGGAGGTGGCCTAGCTGTATTGCTCTAACTGCAGTAGAGAAAATCAGGTCACCAGATTGGCTCTGCTTTCTGGAAAGGCTCTGTTAATGTTAAAATATACTCACCTCTGCATAAGTGAAGCAATCTCTGCAAGCTCCCTTACCAGTGCCTACCTCTTCTAACCAACTTGCTCTGTGTTCGGCATCTTTGGTCATCTTGATTGGCCAGCTTGGGATGGTGCAACTCCTGTGCATGCACATGGGAGTTTATTCACCCCATTTGTGCATGAGCAGCTCAGTGTACA